TGTGATTATTATTCTGTTCCATTACTTTTGGTCCCTTAACAAGTGGGAGGCACATATGCAAAATGTTGTAATTCCTACACTGTTCACCTGATTTGGATGTAAATATCCTCAAATTAAAGCTGACAGTCTGCAGTTAAAGCACATCTTGTTCATTTCATATCTATTGTGGTGGTGTATAGAGCCAAAAATGTTAGAATTGTGTCGATGTCCCAATATTTATGGACCTGACTGTACATAGTCCTTTTGGAGAAGACTTCCAGTGTTCTATTATTTTTCACATACACGTGCCCTGTTCCAGACACATGGGAAAATCTACTAAAGTAATGCCCCTCGTGAATCTGTAAGAAGCAGCCATGGTCCATGCCAGTGATCCAGTCTGATAATTGCTAATGGTGGAATTTACAAAGATTAGTAAACCTATTTAGCGCACAGTGCAGAAGTCAAGCCGATTGTTAAGATGCCTAAGCTGCACGTAGGTCAGAGAGAAACTGGCTTTGCATGTTCTGAACATTAACACAAAACGAATTAGATGCAAATTGTTTGATGCATCTATTTTCATACTGCTGCTCTCACAAAATATTCTAAAACAATGTAGTACAATGTACTACAGGACAGTACCATGCAATCCAGTTAGAGTTTTTAAAAGCAGTGAATACACTGTGTTTGGTGTGATGCAGTGCAATTTCAGACCATTCAAATTAATGGGTTGAAAATAAATAAATCGTATAACACATTTTGATTTCCTGAGTGATTTCTGGTGTGAACCAGCCCTCTGTTCTGGTGTGCTGCGCAGAAAGAGACAATTCACTTCCATTTATTAGAATGCCACTAAATCAAATCTATGCAGCTAAAGTTGCATCAAGTGAAAAAAAAAAAAAAAGTTCCTGCACTATTTTGATTCTCCTTTTTTGCAACTTGAATGCCACAGAGAGTAAAGTCACATGAAAGTCGCACGACTTAGGCTTGGTTCACACTAGTGCAACTCCAAACTGTCAAAGCCAGATCCGTTAATAATAAGGAATACTTAACCGCTTCATGCCTAAGGGTAAAACAAATCTTAATGCCTAAGCACAATTTTGCAACGTTGACATGCATTAGTAAAACCATGCATATCATCACAATTACTTAGTAGATCCAGGTGAATTATACCTGGTTTTTTTTCAGGACAAGTTGGGCTTTCATTTGGTGGTAAATGGTAATGGATATCTTCGGATTTTTTTTTTTTTTTTTTTTTTTTTTTTTAAAATCAAAGGAAAGCTAGCCCAAAATAGTAAAAAAAAAAAAAATTTTTTTTTTAAATTTAGCTGTGTTTCTTGTTACTACTATAACCTACCACCAAAGAACAACCCAAAATAAATGTTCTAGCTCTTGACTATCGCAGCGATACCATATATGTGTATGTTATTTGTACCCGTAGTACAGCCCAGAAACAGTAGTGCACATTTTGGTTTTTGTTTCTTTTACCTAAAAAACACAGATACCAAATTTTAAAAAATCCTGACCTTTTGTCCTTGATCCAAACACTTACCCTGTCACTGAACTAGATCAAACCTGGATCTAGGTATTTAATATTTATTTCTTTTTTTTTTTTTTTTTTTTAGAAACTTTTTTTTCCCTTCTATGCCAGGAGTTGGAGAGATACAATGTCTCTCTCCTCCATTCATAGAGAGAAAAAAACCCAAGGGAGCCGGGCTGTACAGCGACGAGCCTCCCTGATGGCCGGGCTGTACAGCGACGAGCCTCCCTGATGGCCGGGCTGTACAGCGACGAGCCTCCCTGATGGCCGGGCTGTACAGCGACGAGCCTCCCTGATGGCCGGGCTGTACAGCGACGAGCCTCCCTGATGGCCAGCTGTACAGACGAGCCTCCCTGATGGCCGGCCTGTCAGCGAGAGCCTCCCTGATGGCCAGCCAATCAGAGAGCCTCCCTGATGGCCAGCCAATCAGAGAGCCTCCCTGATGGCCAGCCAATCAGAGAGCCTCCCTGATGGCCAGCCAATCAGAGAGCCTCCCTGATGGCCAGCCAATCAGAGAGCCTCCCTGATGGCCAGCCAATCAGAGAGCCTCCCTGATGGCCAGCCAATCAGAGAGCCTCTCTATCACAGCGATCACGTGACCCAGAATTGGGAGTCTCAGAACCCGATCGTTAGAACAGGACCCGGGGCTCTCAGTAACACCCCAGTCACTGTGCAGAAAGACAAGTACGCAAATAAGCAGCCCCATGGAAAAAAGCCCAGTTCTGTGAGGCCGCATATTTGTGTTATGTCAGCATCAAGGGGTTAAAGGAATTATCACAGCACTGCATTGGTTACTCGTTAGAAGGTTTCTGCCCAGCAGAATTGGGCAGGGTTTATGACAGGCCTAAGGTTTGGTTGTAAAGCATCAAAAGTGATTATAAGGGCTTGTTCACACATGCATCCAGGGGCAATAATAATAATTAGTTGATCTGTAGATTTACTACCACCCACATTAGACACAGTGGCCATAGGGGGTTGTACACATGCCACAACAATGACACAGCCCTCTGTCATTCACACTCTGAAAAGTGATCCACCGTTACCCATCTCTTTAAAAAGTGAGCAAGTGCTGCCCTCAGTGAAAAAAAACAAAAAACTCACAGGATGTTTGAGGAACATCTCTTGCTGTGACCTGAACCCCTGTGCAATGTGTTTTTAAATAAATATTAATGCTAAAAGTTGCAACTCCACCTTTTGCACCATGTTATACCTGTATTTAGTGTGTAACAGTTGCAAATGGGACCTCTTTACCCCAGACAGTTGGTTTTCCTTTCCACAGCTGCTATCACTTTTGAAATTTTTGGTACAGAGAGCTAGGAAGGAGTCTGCAGAAGCCTAGCATTTCAACTGCTATCCAATGATTCTGGTTGAAATGCTTTGCAGGGTAAAAAAATAAAATAAAAATAATCAATGCACATTTTATACTGTATATGTGCAAGTTCAACTGAGAGATTGCTCTGTTGTAGATACTGCTTACCAGCTAGGGCCCTGTAAAATACACCCAATACATCCTGGCATGGGGCAGCATTTGACCCTCTCCCAATAATCGAATCATTAGTACACAGCTTTGAACGTCTGATTATGACAGTTCAGATGAAAGTTTCTTAAAGAGCACGAGTGAAAATATTTCTTGTTTGGTAACAACTAACGATTTTCCTGCGATTAGTATAGTATTTGTACAAAAATAGTCAAGGGATGAAGAGCAACTATGATTGGAAATGAAATAATAAACATGCAATACAAAAAATGTTTTGTAATACGAAAAATCAGTTTGCATTTCTAATATTGAAACCCCTTTGTAACCATGTGGACAGCTCTGTTGACTAATTTTCTTATATCTGTCATGTCCAAAAAATGTAATTGTAAATACATTTGAAAAGCAATCAGGAGATCAACCACACTCTAGGCGTGGATAGAAGAGGGGTCACAGGTAGATTACATCACTTCCGATTACACGCTAGAATGTACGTAGGGAAGTTGTATTAGTGCGAGAATTTTCGTAGCTTTAGTAACCTATTCATTTTCAAAAAAGGATGAACTTGCCTCTGATTTTCTCATTATGTGTACTAGGCATAAGTCTTGTAATTATTTTGGTAATAGCTCCTAAACAGACCAACAACGAGCTCTCTTGTTGGTGCCAATAGCAAGTTTAAGAAAAAAAAAAAAAAAAAAATACAGTCCGTATGAAAGCAACTGAAACATTTACACTTTACAAAAAAAAGTAGAACAACTGTATTGGAAGGAGAACGGTTGTGCTGTACAAAAGCTTACTTTGTTAGGTTGACTGCAGTATATGCAGAAGAATGCAAAGACAAACCTGGAGATAATGGTTCCTAACACAGTAAAAGAAATAAATATATTGACTTAAGACCACAATAAAATCTGCAGAAAAATTATGCCATAGAAAATCCAGCTTTCTTGAGGCACTTGCTGGTTATAGATTTCTGAAAATAAGGAAGCCTTTCACTTACAACTACATTGAATTTTAGATGAAAAGCATAGCGGCCCAGGTATGTATAAAAAAAAAAAAAAAAATAATTATGCTCACATTTACATCCTTCCTGATTAGATCCACCGATAAAGTTCCTTTCAATGATCTCTTTTTTTGCACTACTCCAGTTGGAGTAAGCTTCATGCACATTGGGCTTTTGTAATCGCTTTTCTACTAGCAAGAGAAAAGCGGTTTTTAAAGCGTGTCTAAGCCACATTTTTGAAAAAGCACTTAGGTGTGTCAAGTGCTTGGGCTTCTTTTTCCCCCATCTTCTGGCCTTTGAAATGAAAAAAAAAAAAAAATTCCTCAGTGTTAAATGCACCAAGCGCTTAGGTACATTTAGATGCACCAGGCATTTTTCTGCCCAAAAGCTCCTTTCCTAAACACGATTTTTGAGCCCTTAAACACTCCTGCCTCTAAAAGCCTATATGTGCATGGACAGACTTTTTTTCTGCCCCTAACCACCCCTTTATGTTGGCATAATGCCTGTTTTACAGCTGTAGTGTGCATAAGGTCTTAATGCACTACTGACTTTACTGGAGAACTGATGAGCAGGAAACAAGGAAGCAAATAGGGGCTCTATCATTCAAGGAACTTCATTGTGTGGATCTAAATAGAAAAGCCTGTAAAAAATTGAAATATGTTGATAACCCTTAATGCTCAAAATTATAATAGGCTTGGGGTGACATTTTTAAGTAAATGTATAATGTTAGATATTTTATATTTAAAAGCCCTCTGCAAAATATCTCAGTGAATGCTACTATAAACATTGGGTAAGAACTGCAATCGACTCATACATGTACAAAACAGCCGAGTGCAGCTGACTGCATTCACGTGCAGGAGATCTGCTTTTCAGGATTAAAACAGAATGAAAGTCATCCTTAAAACAAGAAAAAGTCAAAGCAATGTATGCCTTAACAGTCCCAATTATGCTGAGGAAGGAGAGTTTCCAGAGGATAATATACAAAGTTCCCAAAGTTATGATCCATGGCATCACTGAGCTTGCAGTGCCTGAGCGATATGTAGGTTTGGTGGCTGCAGATTTGCAGGGTGCAGATTCTGATGTGCTATCATTGGCCAGGGTTCTGGACCCTGATGATTCTGTAGGAGGCGGTAAAGCTGTTTGAGGTGGGCAACAATGTTATCCTTAATATCAGGAATAGAAATTTGTAAGCGAACACTTCCACTTTCAAAGGATCGAGTGACATCTCCAGAGAACATCTCAAGAATCATTCGAGCAACCACAGGAATGATCTATGAATAAAATAAAGGTTAATGGTGTTATATATCTTTCACATGGATATTATAAGTAAATATGGCTGAATAAAACAAACTGCCATTTCAGGCTGCAAAGCAAAAAAATGGATTTTCAAAAGGGGGTGATACTTTTCTATATCCACTGTATAAAACACTATATAGTAGAATAGAGAATCAACATTATGTCTAACATGGGGATAACACTGCCTGGATTATGGTACATTTGTCTGAATTTTAAGATGCGACTTGGCATTTAGTGGTTCTATTAAAATTCTTGAAAAAAATAAAAAAAATAAAACACACCCCCACACATCTAGAATATAGGGGATAGCTTTAGGCACATCAGTGTAAGACTGTGCTTCAGCACACTTGCATACTAGGAAGTGCATCACTTTTTTCATGGCAAAAAGGAAAATGTTGCAGGCTACAGCTTATTCACATTTCCATCTGATCCCTATATAACAACAATTTTTCACTTTGAAATCATATCCAATTTAAAGCTCAAAATTCAGATTTTTTTTTTTCGTTTTGAAAAAAAAAAAAAAAAAATATGGATAAAAAGGACAAGTTCTGTTTGGTTCTTTGATATCTGTATCCCCAACAGGGATATGTTTCTCCATTTCCTGTGTATTCACCAGGCCAAAAACTAAGGGTAAAATCTATAAACAGGCAAATAAAATCCATTTTTTTATGTGACAGTACCTCCACTCAATGTCAGTGTGCTTGGTAACAGTCACATTTTTTATGCTTAGCCTGATAAGCCTTGCCATGGAAGCAAAGAAGACTTGTGTAAGGGTTGGCATTATATTGAAAACAGAGGAGGGACAGAGGTAATGGTGGGAATAAGGTCATCAGATATGGGACCAGAAATGTTGTCAGCCAGGTTTATGAACCAAGGATAATCTGGTCAAACACTTATACAATTCGTTTACAGTAACATTTTTGAAAGCAGCAAAGCTTGTTTTGTCTTTGTTGTTCTACCTGCAAATAGTTTCAGGGTGATGCAGGCCGCGGGGAAATCTTCCAATGGGAACACTAGTTATGGTGACGACCTGGGGGGTCCCTAAGGAATGACCTTTTCGCTTCACATTTTCTTGCAAGATGTACAGAAGTTATATTCACCTGCACAATAATCAGCTTCCTCTCCTTTGGTTTACCATCAGGCCACTCTTCTCCAAAACACAGGTATATTTTTCATATGGAGGCTGCTTAGCTCCACTTCCTTTTTGATGAGAAATTAGTTCTAAGAGCAAGGAAAAAAAAAAAAACTCAGATCATTAAAACACAATCATACTTCTTTCTATAAAATCATTTTCATGTTAAAGTAGTTCTAAAGCCAAAAATGTTTTACTTTAATGCGTTTAAATTTTTTCTAGTGGTAGTATTGCCCCCTCACTACTTAAACTTACCTGACCTCTATCTCGATCCAGTGCTGTGCCTATCTGCAGTAGCTCACTCCACTCTCTCTGCTCACAGGAGGTTCAACGTTCAATTAAATCCTGTGAGGATGGAGCAGGGATGCGCCCTGCAGTTTGTGTCTATAGATGCACACAGTCTGGCTCTGGAGTGAGTTGCAGGTGTGCCACCATAGGTAGCGGTTTACTATGGTGGCATACAGAGAAGAGACTAGATCGCTGACAGGATACCACAGAGTAGATCGGGGCTGCTCTGTGCAATGCCATTGCAGAACAGGTAAGCATAACATGCTTGTTAAATAAAAGTGAATGTATCCTGCGCCTCTATTAATAAGATCAATGCATATAAATTAATTCAATGCAATACGTGTACTAATATTATAAAGGAACAATAAAAGTGTATGTGCTTAGTGGCTGCTAGCAATGAAATTGTGTCCCTATAACCAATAAAAAAAAAAAAAAATTGTGAAAAGGTATATTGCTGCTAACTGGACATGAAGGGGAAAGGTGCTTAGGACCTGAAACACTACAGGTCCAATCTTGGAGGTGAGTGCAGTGGTGAATGGTGGTGGGTATCACCACGTATGTTTTAGTGGAGGATCACAAGAGGTGGAATGCAGTGATATAATGTATGACAATTGTAGAAGAAATACACATCATATGCATGGACACTTTACACTTATTGTTATTAATGTTTATTCACCATTAGTGACATATGGACTTTCAGATTTTTATTTTTTGTGGTTTATTATTCATAGAAATATGTTTATTGGTTTGAATTAATTGATTTGGAGGTGCAGCAAAATACCTTTTTCACATAACATGCTTGTTATTTGTAAAGTTAATATCAGACTATATCATTTTCTAATCACTTTACCTGTGCCCAGATATACGTAGTTAAGGGGTATAACTGAAAATCAGAGCCCAAAAGGCAAAATGTTAATGACACAACCCCCTCTCTCATTAATAAAAAAAAAAAAATGGATAATATTACAAACACTGGAGGTTACCATACAGTTAGAGATATTTACACACACACACACACACACACACACACACACACACACACACACACACACACACACACACACACACACACACACACACACACACACACACACACACACACACACCTTACTAAAAGGCACTTTTTAATATTAAAATAATAAACATATGCTTATCTGCTCTGTGCATTGGTATTGCACAGAGCGGTCCCAAATTGCCTCTTCTGGGGTCCCCTGCTAGTGATCTTGGCTCCTCCTCTTCTCCGTGTGCCCCCTAGCAAGCCACTTGCATCCTCGCTCCCGAGCTGTGTGTCAATGGAGCCATGCTCCATAGACACACAGAGCATGACTTGGCCATGCCCCCCACTTCCTCCCAACAGAACTTGATTGACAGTAGCATGGGCCAATGACTCCTGCTGCTGTCTAAGTCTCTATGTGAAGAGGAAGGGAGGAGAGAAGAGATCCAACCATGTACAGCACTAGATCTATTGAGGACTCAAGTGAAGTATTTAGGGAGGTGTAAAACCGTGTTTTTACCTTAATGCAAAAAACATTTTGGCTTTAGAACCACTTTAACAAATGTCATGTAATCTACTGAAATTAGATACAATAGGTCTATATAAATTTGCATTAACGTTACAGTATGAAATAACTGTGGTAGACACAGGTATATTAAAAAAAGGGAAGTAAAAAAAAAACAAAAACAAAAAAAAAAAAAAAAAAAAAAAAACTCACCACTTAAGAAGCTCTCCAAACAGAAAAGTTTAACTTTCTTCTGGCGCTCAATCAGATTCGGAATATTTGGTGAAGGGGAACACGGTCCTGTCCAGTAAACCTTGCACTGGCAAAGTCGAACAGCATAGATGGCATGCCCACTTACTTCCAAGATAAGTCCTCTGTCCATAACATCTAGCAGGCGGCTAGTGTACAACTTCTGCCTCTCATTTACAATCTGATCTGGACCTGGAAATCTCACTTGCTCCAGACTTATAGGACCAAAAAGTTCTTCTTGGTTGGGCATTGGACCTAGGTCACCATAGAAAAGCCGGCAGCCTTGAGGGTTACTGACATTCATTGTCTGTCCCATTTCTTTGCCTCTGTAGAGGAACTGGATCTCAAGATCTGTCACTGCAAAAAAAAAAAAAAAAAAAAAAAATTCATATAAAATATATTATTGATATATAGCAACAAAGCAAATAAAAAAAACACATGCAAAATAAATGCATGACTAAAGTCCTGACATGCAAATATATACAACACAGTCGCTGACAAAATCCTACCTAAAATAATTATGTTCATTCTTTGCACTTTTGGAGCAACTGCACAACATGGGTATGGCCCATAGCAACCAATCAAATACCAATTTTTTTGGTGGAAGGTATATCACTTGGTACTGATTGCAGTGGACTAGTTTATAGCAGAACTATGACCTAAAATTGCTGCAACAATTAACTAAGTGCGTCTGCTTTTTTTTCTCTTAGCCTCTTGCAAAGTCCTACAAACACTAGCGCTGTGTGCAAATGGCAGAGAGAGGCGTTTGGGAAGCATTTTTACCGCTTCCCAAACGCCTCTGCCAATTCTGCACATTGCAGCACATGCAGCACATGGTGCTGTTCTAACGGGAGCGTTTGCGTCGCAAAACGGACGCCTCTGGACGAGTCAGGAGGCGTTGAAGCCTTCTATTCTCGTCTATGGTGCCGCTCCGCAAACGCCCGGCCGGCATTTGCGGTGCGGTTGCGATGCGGTTGCAGGGTGTTTGCGGAGCGGTAACACCACTCAAACTGCATTATAAGCTTTTGTGGAGCGTTATTAACGCTCGGCAAACGCCTAGCAACCGCCGCTAAACCGCACATGCGGCGTTTGCGGAGCGTTTGCCGAGCGTTAAAAAACGCTCCGCAAACGCCGGACCAACGCTTGCCAAACGCTATAGGGGCGTTTGGCAAGCGTTGGCAAAACAGCCAAGTGTGAACGAGCCCTTAAGCCTGCCAGAGAGATCCACCTAAAGCAGCTTCTTGTAATGGCATGGCACCACCACATGGTCACTGCTGATTCACAAGCCTGTAGCTTGCCAATCAACACCTGGCCACACCTGGTCCAGCTCACTGCTTTCTGGATTGACAGCACTGCTTCTATTGCTGAAACCCTGCCACCATGACCTGCAGTGTTTAGGAGACAAATGGAGGATTTGGCTCAGCCAGTAAAGGTAACAGAGGTTTGTCTACTCCAGAGGCTTGTGCACCATATATAGTAACTGAATTTGGTACACATTTGAAAAAAACATAAAAAAAGAAGACTATTTTACTTCTACTTTAGGCCCCTCCTCTGGAACTTAAAAATGGTTTAAATTGCTTCAGTGAATCAGATTTTCTGATATAGCAGCAATCAGAATGCCATGGTACCTAAATACATGTTCCGCAAATACTGCTTCCACCCACAGCAAAGTACTTCAGGAAAAAAAAATATTGCATCTTTGTGTCACTAAGAAAAAAGGACACCCCTCAAAATGGCTAGAAAGCCTTTAGCAGTCAAGCATTTGTATTATAAAGAGTGGCTTACAGAATAGTAAAACAAAAATATTCAAGTTTGTAACTCTAGAAAATGTTGGCATGAATACATTTCAATTATTTGTTTCAGCTCCTGTACCATAGTTACTTACTAGGTAGGGAGCTAATCCACAATTCAGGAGAGCCGAAAAGGTCCACCCCTGATGGGGTCTGGGGAACCTCCATGTCTTGCGGTTCTGACTTTGGCCAGTCTGGTTCAGGAGTACAGCTACCTAGGCTTGCTGGGGCCATGGGAGAATCTGAGAAGATACACAAAAAAAAACAAAAAAAAAAAAAAAAAAAAAAACATGTTTAAATTCGCACAATGCCGCTGAATTACAGCTGCACTACATTTGTGAAGAATGCACAAGATAATCTTTGGACTACTGTTTTTTTTTTTTTTCTTTTAACACATGGACATTCAGGTGAGATCTTGCCACTTCAAAGTTTGTTTGTTTTTTTGTAGATTCACTTGTGTATTTCAATGGAAAAGAAAATAACCATGCCTGTGACAAATTTTTTTAAAGCAACAGTATCTCCAATACAGTATATACAGCTATTTTTCTATAGATGTTCTCCAGTTTCAGCAGCACATTAGTACAGTGAATATGCAAGGCAAATACAGGTCACATATTTGTGTTGTGAGCTTCATCATTCCCAAATCTTGACAGACAGGCTGGGCAACATTACTAACCCTTTAAGGAACTGCCCTGTAATAGTATACTGGTGTCTCACAAAGCCTTCAATTTATTTAGCTGCAAACCTGTAAGTTATCATTATGTGTGAAAAAACCCTGCAATAAGATTTTTTGTGCATATGGAATAGTTTTGTATTTTTATTCTAGACCAATAGTTTCAATATGTGATGAAATTTGTGGAAGTAGTAATAACCACTATCCAAGAAAGATGAGAACAGTGGTTATATTTCATTTTACCTGCATAGCGACTACTAAAGTATATGTGTTGCTAGAGGCATAATATACCCAAGGTTGAAAAAAAAAAACAAAAAAAACAAAAAAAAAAGTGTTGTACAAAGCTGCTTTAGATTTCATGCGCACAAGGCTTGTACACGCAAATAATTGGCTAGTACAATCTCTGATTGTTTTCCTGCTCCCGAGGAGTCACATGTGCCACATACAGCCTGTATGCATGTCCAACATGATTTTCCAAAAGCAAACATTCTGTGTTGAAAGAATACATCAGACAAAAAGCATTGGGATTTACAAGCGCATGGCTGTGTAAAGCCAGTCACTTGTATGGCAGGCTGTGCGTGGCACGTGCAGATCCTTGGACACAGGAAAGGGCTGGTAAAATACACTTGCCATACTATATACCTGAAAAAGGCCCAGTGTGCATGATCCTTAATGCATCATTTTATTACCCGAACACTTCCTTGTATGACACTTCGTAATATTAAATATCTAAAAAAAATTTGAAAGTTACTGAAAACCATAGCAACTACATCCTATTTTCTGATTAAAGAGAAATTAAAAAAAAAAAAAAAAAAAAAAATAGGATACATAAAACATTTAGGCTTCATGCACACTAGCGGTTTTCCTTAAGCTCCTGGAAGCCGTTATCAAGCTCCATACACACTAACAAATAATGCTGGATAAAAAAAAAACAAAAAAAAACCCACTGGCAATAGTGGTGTTTAGGAGAGTTAGCACTTTTACAGTACATGTGGGGGGGGGGAGTTAGAAAAAAGAAAAGCTGTTAGGGGCCTTTTATTAGTGTTTAGAAGCATTTAGCGTTTTTTTCTGCTGGAAAAAACGCTCCCAAAAACATATTTTTTTGCTGCTCCTAAACCCTGAAGCTTGAAAAATGCTTACATTTTAGCTTTGCTGTTCCTATTACCAATATTTTCTTTTCACACCAACAGTGCATGTTTTCCCAGGTAATATGCTTCAGCTACAGGAGCTAGTTAATTAAGTTTAGTTTTAGTTAAGTTTAGATTTAGCTAGTCTAGGTAGATATTTGTAGACATCCAAACAGTTGGTGGAGCAGAATAACTAAAATCTTTGGATCAACCTGGTAACTAGTAATTTCACAAAGGATATTAAATAACAGCCTCTTTATTTCTAGCAGTACAGGGTTACATTAAAGTACTTCGATCTGCCATAGAAATCTTGATATTTCACTGAGAATAAAGATAGAGACAACTGGCTTCAGAACACCCCTGGTGCTTCTCTCCCAATTTAACCAACATATGATTTGGCAAGTGTAAGAAAAGCTTACAGGTGGTTATAAACCTCAGACATGAAATATGAACAAAGCATATCCCTCTACAGTGTGTCAACTAAACACACTAAGTGTCATTCCTCTCTGCTGCTTCATTCTGATATTTCACTAAACGCACTAAGTGTCATTCCTCTCTGCTGCTTCATTCTGATATTTCACTGAGAATAAAGATAGAGACAACTGGCTTCAGAACACCCCTGGTGCTTCTCTCCCAATTTAACCAACATATGATTTGGCAAGTGTAAGAAAAGCTTACAGGTGGTTATAAACCTCAGACATGAAATATGAACAAAGCATATCCCTCTACAGTGTGTCAACTAAACACACTAAGTGTCATTCCTCTCTGCTGCTTCATTCTGATATTTCACTAAACGCACTAAGTGTCATTCCTCTCTGCTGCTTCATTCTGATATTTCACTGAGAATAAAGATAGAGACAACTGGCTTCAGAACACCCCTGGTGCTTCTCTCCCAATTTAACCAACATATGATTTGGCAAGTGTAAGAAAAGCTTACAGGTGGTTATAAACCTCAGACATGAAATTGAGGGTGGGGGGGGGGGAGGGGTTTGTGGAGGAGGGTAGGCCCTCCACCCAATTAACAGTCTTCGCTCTGCTCCCATGAACTGTGTGAAGGGGTGTGTGTCCCTTCTCTCAATTCATCTCTCAGAGTTCACCTAACTGGGCTATGCAGTGTGTAATTTCAGCGTTCAGCCCCGTTTTCTGAACTCTCAGACAAGCTTTATAAATTCAACACTTTGGATGAATGTAGTGAAGAGAAGACTGCACATAGACTGGTACAACTTATGTAGGAGGATTTGTGTCATCTCTGTGCATCCCCTGAGGCCAGTCACTTCAATATGTATATAAAAGTGTTTACAACCACTTTATTTCCTCACTTCTCCATAAGCTAAACATGTGGCTATTGGTTTCCCTGCCTTGACGTCTGCTGCAGCTGCAAGATCCCCTCTAAAACATATGAATACCATTTGTAACACAATTAGAGGACAACATTAAAAATGTATTTAAGGTCGAGGAGGCCTACTAAAGTGATCTTTGCAAAAATGTCTAGTATTATAGCTATTAACTTCAAGTTTCAAAAAGTACCCTTTTAATTAAATCTTATAGTAAAAATATACTGACACAAACCATTGATTGTTAGGCCATTAAAGGGCTCCTGGATTGGGACATGAATCTGTGACTGACTTATATCATCCTCTTCATACTCATCATCATCCCATCGTGAAGAACCAGTAGAACCTGTTGCAGTGAAAATAACTGATCAGAAACTTGGATATAAAAAAGATTAAAATCAATCATGCAAACCAAGTTTGGGGTTCTACAATAAAACACTGCAAAAAAACAAGTAAAGTGCTGTAACCTCAAATAATTAAATCCAAATGAGATTAGTAATAAAATAATCAATTCTGATTGGTTGGTATGTAGGACTTCTCATTTACTACTTTTGACCAGACTGTCCTTTGTCTTGCTGAATTTGTATAAATGTGTAGTATTTTACAGCTTTGTGTGCAAGCAATAAAGTCATGCCCGATGTACCTGCAAATTTACAGTGTGTAAATACAGTCAAAGCAGTCTGCCTAGTCTTAAGGGGATGTCTTCCTATTGTCAGGCACACAACATTTGAACCAGCTTCTCTTGAACATAGAATGCAGAAAGACTTGATACCCTCAACATTTTTTTAGTTTGTTTTTTTTTTTTAAAACTAAAGTTCTAAAAGATAAATAGTTATAAAATAGGAAATATTTTGCAATGATCATGTGTACACTTCAATTTCTAATCCTAATTATTCTAAACATGAAGTCAAACTTCAACCACAATACAGAAAATATAACTGAGCCACTGTCTGCACTTTGAATGCTAATGCACATTCTGGTTTCAATCTTACCTGGGTTTATGATGGGGCCTTGGGATTGAGGAATGTCACAGACCTCATAGATTTTAATAGGGTTCATTGGAACTTCTTTGGTTCCATCATACATCAGTTTAAATTCTCGACTTTTGTTAAGTGCACAGCGCAGCTGGGCCTTCCACTTTGCTGGATCAGGATCATCAGCTCCTTCTTGATATTTACCAGTCTCTACAGCCCATGCCTAGTAACAAAAACAAAACACTTTACCAGATTTAACAGGATAGGTTTTCAACACTTTCACAGGAGAACAAATAAAATACACAGACATATCTTTTATTATATATCTATTTTGGAGCTCAGTGCATTATTTGCAGTAATCATTACTGAGAGTAGCATTTAACTGTCCCGTTTGGAAGGACCTCTACTTTGTAACCAAATACCTTAGTCCATTTTCTTTTCAAACACACCTCTTTTAGCACAGGTGTAGACACCTGTACCATTTAACAGCCAAAGTTATATTACACTAAACGATTAATCCATCCTTTAAAAAATTAGGTTTGATATTTTTAAATGCAAATCTACAAAAATGGTGGCTAAAAAAACAAAACCCAGTGGGTTTAAGAGATCATTCAGCTGAATTCATCATTCATGTAGCACAAGAGTATGGCAGCGGTCTGTTCATTGCTTTTATATTCTGTTCTAAAATGTGTGCATATTAACATTCAAGTGAATAGTAAGCCTAGGTGAAGAAAAAAAAAAAAAGCAAAAAAACAAACAAAAAAAAAAAAACCCCACTAACATTTCTCTTTAAAAACTGGCAGCCATGCACATGCTTGTTTGAGAAATTTGATTCACTAGGTAGCAAAGCTTGAATCAGAATGACAACCTCAAAGCTTGCATCTTCAAAAATGTCACTATTGGCACTATGTTTCCATCATGTCAATAAAAGTCAAATTAGACTTGTGTATGTTTAAAGACAAATTTGTTAGAAAAGGGTGTTGTTACCAAAACTATGCCTTAAAGCAGGGGTGTCAAACTGGCAGCCCTCCAGCTGTTGCAAAACTCTCTTTTCTAATAAGTCCCATCATGCCTCTGCCTTTGGGAGTCATGCTTGTAACTGTCAATCTTGCAGTGCCTAATGGGACAGTTTGACACCAGTGCCTTAAAAGTATAAACAGGAAGGAAGTTAAAGTTGTTTTTGGGTAAACATTTTTTTACGTTTTCAGTATGCCTTCACTAATCAAAAAGGAAAACATACTGTAAAGCTGGCAAGAGACAATACGCCCGTGTGCATGGGCTCATTTGCCTGTATTTATGTTCAAAGTGCATGAACCGTAAAGGGTGGTTAGATATGCAGACATGATCTGACCACCCTCAGACTTCATTGTAGGCCAGCACATCCCTAACCTTGAACTGTTCATGTTTATCTGGAAAGCTAGAGGTTGGCGTCACTACTTCATTCCTATCATAGAGGATGCAATAGCACTCAAACAGGCTTTTCTAACCTGTCCATTTTCTCCTCTCCCAGATGAGCCTTGACTGATGGTCTTTGCAGGTAGCTGAAGAAGGCAATTAACCAACTACAAGCACAACCCCACTCAGACTGCAGGCTGGATTTCTCCTCCAGCAGGTGCCTGCAGGGATCATCTAAAGTTACATTGTGTCTAAGCAGAGGGTGGGGCCTGCTGAACAATCCGGTTAAAATATGCTGCCCTTGAGGATCATTCAAGTGCCTTGTATACACACTGCAAGTTTTTCCAATCCCAGTGGTGGTAGTTTGCCAATTCTATGAAAATGTTGCATTGTGAATGGCAGTCCCCAGCACTCCTTAACTTGTGAGGCCATAAAAAAAAAAAAAAAAATCTTGTTTGAACAAATGGTTCTTATACTACTCTAGTAGCAAAGGTTGAGGGGGGCATGCATTTTTGACCTACATGGGTGAACCTTGGCAGACATTACTCTGCATTTGAGGGGTAGAAGGAAGCATAAGGAAAGGCAGTGCCAGTTTCGGTCGCCATTGCTACAGAACCCAATGGCCGCACCATCTAAGTCCAACTTGAACAAATTTATTTAACTTAGCAACTAAATTTAATGCTTAATCACTATTTAACTCTGCCTTCCTGACCTATTTTGAACAAACAATCTGTGCGTCTGCTATAACTAAAGGGGAAAGACACACACTTCATTTGATTTCCTGTAATTCTCTTTCACGCTAGACATTTTTACAGCTGCTGTTTTTGGCTTTTGACATTTTTTGGCAGGGATGTTTTTTTGTCTGGAAACCCCCCCCCCCCCCCAAAACTAGTGAGTTTCTAGAGTAGTTTTTTAGCTGTAAAAAATATAACGCTGAAAAAGGCAGTAAATCGTGGCAAACCAGCATTTTTAGACTTTTTTTAACCAAAAAAAAAAAGGGTTTTTTTGGTAAAAAAAAAATGAAAGCAAAAACGCGGAAAAGCGCTAATACAAAAACCACTGAAAAACTCATGTTTTTAGCGGGACTTTAAACAACTAACGTCACCAGGGTTATTAAAACGCCCAGTGTGCATGGAGACTAACTATAGAATGAAAGTCATTACTCTTATACAATGTTTAATAGTATGTATCTTAATGGAGGTATGAAGTGCTCACCTTGAAAATGGTGTTCTCCTCTTCATGCTGAGGGCTATGACGTGTTGCATGTTTCCATGGTATTTGAAATCTCTTTGCCTCCCTGTCCAGCCATACCAGACCTGGATACCTTCCGCTATCCACCTGAGCCACCAACCATGGCTTTAGCCGAACTCGACGTGGGTGCAGAGCCATTATCTGAAAGACAAGGAAATCCTGCATAAAATTATACAATTAAATATGATGTGATAGATTTAAAGATGCACTTCAAAATGGTATCTTAAAAATGGAACTAACTAGCCATTTCTTCTGTCTTGTCAGTATTAATATATAAAAGACAAACATGAAGAATCCACTAGCACTATAATGTAAATAAATAAAAAAAACCTTGTTTTGGCATCATGCACACAGACAGTCGGATGCTCAAAATAGGCTGGGATTTTATGCTAAAGCTTGTCCGAGAAGTTGCAGATGGCATTTACAATCGGTCACAGAAATGAATGGCTTTAAGTTGGTGCATGACAGCCACATGCAAATATTAAAAATTCCTTAATGGCGCAAATTCAGATTTCAGGAAATATGCCATATGCACAAGTACATGTTTATGCTGATGAAAAGCATCAGCGTTTGCTTGAGTACAGTATTCACTTCTATAGCAGGAGCTTTAATGTGCCATCTGTAGTTTACGGGGTGGGAAATCCCACCAGGATTTTATGCCAAAGTAGAATACCAGCCTAGCATATATCTATTTTATGTTGCTTCATAAACATTATAGCTAACCAATGCAACAGTAGACATTGTGAATCAGGAAAAGGCCTCATGCTCAAGAATAGTTTGATACTTTAAAGTGAAATTCCAGCCTTCATAGTGTCTACTGTTGCACTGAAATGCTGTAGCGATTATGAAGCAACATAAAATAGATACACAATGGCATTGGTAGTACAAAATTCTTTCAGTGGAATGCCCTAGTGTTATTAAGGTCAACTAAAAGAGGTCATTACAAAGATATCTTGTTTACCTCATTATGCGATGATAAAAACTCTATAATTTGCTCCTGCCTTTCATCTTCATCACTGAACAAACAATTAGCAGGAATTCCAGAACGTGAAAATATCCTCTTACTACCAAGATAAAGATATTATGTATAAAGTGCAGCACAGTGGCTAAATGGTTAGCAGTAGCGGCAGTACAAGGGTCATTGGTTTGAATCCCAGCCAGAGCACCACCTGCCTGGAGTTTGCATGTTCTCCCAATGCCTGCGTGGGCTTCCTCTGGTTTTCTCCCAATGCCTGCGTGGGCTTCCTCTGGTTTCCTCCCAATGCCTGCGTGGGCTTCCTCTGGTTTCCTCCCACACTCCAAAGACATGCTGGTAGGTTAATTGGCTTCTGTCTAAATTGGCCCTAGTACGTGTATATATGAATGTAAGTTAGGGACCTTAGATTGTATGCCCCTTGAGGGTTAGGGATTGATGTGAATGTACAATATATGTGTAAAGCACTGCATAAATTGGACGGCGCTATATAAAGTACCTGAAATAACAATAAATAAGTATAAATAAATAGGATGACTGTACACTGGCAGAAATATAGTATTACTTTACTTATTCATAAAATTTTATGTGCATGGTACCTACCAGCAAAGGGACAAGGTGGGGGGTGAGCACGTCAGAATCAGAATGATATGCACACCTCTCATCTGCTGCTAATGGCTTTGTAGATTCACCCATTCTATTTGTCCTGGGGTCCATCAACACAGAGACAAAAGGGGTTGATTTACTAATGGGAGACTGCAAAATCTGGTGCACCTGTACATGGTAGCCAATCAGCATCTAACGTCAGCTTGTTCAATTAAACTTTATTGAAAAAAAAACGGAACGCTAATTGGTTTCTATGCAAAGCTGCACCAGAACTTGCACTCTCCAGTATTAGTAAATCAATCCCAAAGTGGTGTTAAAATACAAAATATCAGGGTTGTCACCCACAGGAACTCCTGTTCCAGTGACAACTGTCGTAGGGAATTTCTCTTTGCTTCCTCTTGCTTCTCTGGGACACAGAGAAAGTAAAAAGCACATACAGTACACTGGAAATGAAAAACAATATGACTTGGGTTTATACTTTGCGATCTAAAACAAAGAAAAAAAAAAAAAAAAAAAATGGTTTTGGCTATACATACACTTTAATGGCTATCACTTACCATTACCAAATAGCGCCCAACTAAATTTACATAAAAGGACACGAAGAGGTTTTAAAGAAAAACAATTATTTATATAGTAAACAAATATTTATAATATGTCCAAGATGTTGATCTGTTATGCACTGCCATGTTTTCTGACTAAGACAAGAGTCTTGGCTTGCTTTCTTCACCTAAGTATTTCTACCCCATGCCAACATCAGGCATGCATACTTCATTGCCTCTCAGTTTCTAAGCAACATAGCATGATTTCTAGTAAAGGAGGCCTATCCATCTAATACACCAGGAACATTACATCTTTTGAACACCTAACATCAGCAGGGAGAAGTGCAAGTGAAGGAAGCAGAGATTTAAAGTGGAACTACACTGCATCTGAGCACCACAAAAACCAAACACACCTAATTCATT